GAAGATAAATATTAAAATCTAAGCAAGAACAAAGCAGGCTGTTTACTGGGCAGATTTTTCAGATGTTCCCTTGAACACTTGAAAAGACAGGAGATGCTTTGATATGCAGGCTGGCTGGAATCCACAATAAAATGGGTCCCTCCAACAAGAGTGTGGGCCCAGGGGCCACGTCCACCCAGCCTACAGATCCTGATGCCTCCACCTCCTTTGGCCATGCATTCACGGGGAAGGTAAGGGAGGGAAAGCGCAGGGTTACCTGATGAAGAGACCTGAGAACGTTGAAAAGACTGACTCCATCCAGTGATCTGGAGCAAAGTGGCATTGGGAACTTTCTTCACAAATGTAGAGGTAAGGCCATGATTCAGGTAGTCTCTCTGTCCCCACAGAGACAGTCAAATCGCACCGCACGTAGGTGAGGCTGGAGGTTTCACAGCTCTCCTCCTCATGCTTCAGGTCACACAGGGAAGCCAAGGACACTGCAGGAAATAATCACCATTAGGTTAGGTAATAACCATGGAAAGAACTGAAGACCTCACATTGTTACATAAGTGAAGTTCATGTGCTGTCCTTTGACTAATAGGAAAATAATGTTCACTTTAAAAAGAAAATGTATGATGTATCCATAACACATACAGAAGAATATAAGTAATGTTTTCATAAAATATGAATCATCATAATAAGAAAAATTCATGTGACTCTACCAGCCACATAAGGTCTAAAAGAGTTGCAATACTCTCAAATCTGTATGCTCCTCATAAGTCCACCTCCTTCCTCCTCGTTCTCAGAAACAATCACTTGCATTTTTAAAATAATTTTCACTATATTAATGGCTTTCCACTCCTAAAACAAGAGATTTGGGGCTTTATTTGTTTGTGATTTTATAAAATAGAATACATGACATAATATTCTTGACCTGATTTTTTCACTCAATATTATATTTCCAAGATTCATCCATATTATCGCATGTAACTGTTGTTCGTGCATTTTCACTGCTGTTCAATACTGCATTGTATGAACATACAACAAATATTTATCTTTTCTTTAACCAGTGAACTTTTGGATACGTCCCAGTTTTTGCTACTATGAACATGCACAAAATTTTACCTAGGTTATATGCCTTAAAATTTCTTGTTTACAGGGTAGGTACAGGTTCAACTTTACAAGATAGAGCCATATTGTTTTCTAAGTGGTTGTGCCATGTTACATTCCTATCAATTATATTTATGAGTTCACATTACTCCACATAATTGTCAGCACTTGGGATTATCAGACTCTTAATTTTGGCCAATCCAGTGCATATACAGCGGCATCTCTTTGCAGCTTTAAATTGTACCTTTATCTTCACTTTTTAGATCAAACAACTTTTTATGTGTTTAGTAATAACTCATGTTTTCTCTATATGAATTTTTTTTATTTCTGTCATTTGCCCTTTTTTCTATTGGAATGTTTGTCTTTTTCTTATTGATTTGTGTTCTTTATATATTCTGGGTACTAATCCTATGGAGTTTATGTGGTTACTGATACCTTCTCCAGGTCTGTGGCTGGACATTTCATTCTCTTAATAGGATCTCTTGATTAAAAGAAGTTCTTCATTTTTGTATAATAATGACTATTATCATTTCATAAAGAAGAAAAGCAATTATTTGAAGCCCTTTGACCCTTAGGCCATTTCTTTCTGGGTCATGAGATACAACGTTAAAAGCATCAACAAGGCCGATCACCAATAACCTTTAATGAGAAGATAGACAAGTCTCTACATGATATGGTTTTGGAGAAGTTCTGTCTGAAAACTTTAATAACATAAAAAAGAAATAAGAAAAATTTTTCCCTAGCCTTCTACCTCTGCAGCTAACTTGTCCACGCAAGTACAGGACAAACTTTATTAAGAACCATGGCCTTGAACCTAAGCCCTGTCTACATCACAGTGCTGCATACAGCATGAGATAAATAAGTACATGTGAGAGGGTTTGCAGTTATTCGGTCACCCTGTTGTTGCTCTTGCATTCAAAGCACTTGACACATAGTAGGTTCCCTGTGAATGTGTTCCAAATGAATTATAGCAATTAAGATGGCTGACAAGTAAGGCTCTCATATGGATAGACAAAACATGAGAATTTTCCAGTTAGTAAGCCCTAGGGCCAATAAAAACAGTCTCAACATCTATAAAATAATGAACTCATTATGGGTGATTAGGTGGATGAAAATTGACAAGGTAGATTATGAAAAGTACCCAAGGCTGGGATCAGAATCCATGGATTTTATTCAATGTTCTGCCACTAAATAGCTATGTAACCTTAATTGCTTTAGCTTTTTATGCCTCATGGAAAAGTTAAAGTTTCCACGAAAAAGTCATGTGGTATAATTCAAGGTATAAATGCAAGATATCCAAAGATCAAAGATCTTGCTGATTTTATAAATATAAAGTATTAGGTTAACTTAATGAGACATTTTAGCAACCCACCTTGTGTAAAAGTAAAATTCTTTTTTTTTTTTTGTCAGATCCACAATTTTGGGGAAAGATAAAGTTAGATGACACTAAAAGCAGCAAAAGAACTTTTTTAGAGCTGCACATTTAACGCCCCCTACCCCACTGATGAAAAGAAAACACATTTGTACTGTGGTATTGGAACAAGCAAAACAGTAATTAAGAAAGTTTGAGTTCTAGGCCATCATCTACATCCTGGAATGTGAAACATCGCTTTCTTCATTGTGCAAAGTCAAACTAAGAAATATAACTAAAAGCAAGGGTCAGAATTCAAAGTGACCTTAGCAAATTAGAGAAGTTAACAGATATAAACAAAAGACCAAATGAAAATAGTAAGGCAGTAAACCACAGAAGAAGAAAATAAATCATATAAATATAAGATGAGGGAAGTCCAGCTGTGCACAGTCATGTTAGAAAGGAAACAACAACAAAAAAAAACACCTTGGAATAATAGTAGTAACAGATTATAAACCAGCAAGACAGCAGTGTAATTTAAAAACAAATATGAAACCAGATTATATGCAAGCATTTTATTACACTATTCAATATAACCAGAACTTGCTTACACAGAGGAGCTACCTAGTTTTGGGCTTAAAATTAGGAAAGAATGTCAGAATTCAGTGAGGGCTCAGAAGAGAAATACCAAAATGTTTACTTGTTAGAAAGTTTCAGATTTAGTAAGTTCCAGCAATTTGCATTTCTAACAGACTCTCAGCTGATGCTGCTAATAATAATAATATATTCTCAATAAGTCTCTATAATAATATCAAACCACTGCATTAGAAAGACTGAGATTATTCAGCTTTCTGAAGGGCAGCCAGCTGATTAAGGATGGAAAAAAGTGTGTATGTGTTGGGGGTGGGAGGAGGGTCCGTTAGTTAGACAAAAGGATGGATTTCTCTGAGAATGGCAACTGTGAAACACATAAGTGTTGCTGCTGTGAAATCATCATTTAAAAAAATCTTATAAAATATAACAGATTCTTAACTAAATTGGTTATATGTGATCCTATCTGAAAGTAGGGGAATTGTTAGTAGTTTCCAATAACTTGTGAAACACACTCCCTTTGACCATTTGATGTCCATAGACCTATTTCATAGGAAAAAAATATACAATCATATACTGAAAATATTTTATTCGATTTCAGGGGGGTGATAGAATCCCCAAATATCATCCTTAATCATAAGTAAGAAACCAGTAGAATTGGTTTCTAACAGTTCCTTCTCATCTTTAGACACTATAATTAAAATACTTTTTTTAATAAAAGAGGAAAATAAGTCAAATTATTCTTTTCCCTAAAAAATGAGCTCTTGCAAAATCAATAAGTATTTGGTGACACCTAGTGGCAAAGTTAAGAGTTACAGTTTCCAACTCATTTTCCTCTTCTAAAATTCACTGAATGTTGAGAAGTCTTTTTCTAAAATTTAATCAAATCTTTTAAAATATAATATTTTTTATTATTTCTTTCCTAGGATTTATAATCCTTCCAATACCACAATTAACTGACCCTAAATTCTTGGTGATTTTTATCTTGTACTTCCAGTTAAAATTAAGCGTCTTGAAATAATACCAAGAGGCTTTAAAAAGTTCATTTAAGCAGTATATATATGAAAGCCTTTAAAAAAAAAAACTGTAGCAGCATTAGTTAGTTAAATATGAGAACCTATAAATGTGGAGTCTTGGTTTTCTAACTTCTTTATTTATTCTCTAACTTCTTTATTTATTCTTTCATTGAGCATTAATTTTGCACATACACTGTGCCAGTGCTATGCACAAGAGGTAGAGATGAAACAGACAACATCTAAAACTTGCATCTTTTACTGTATCTTAAATTTCCTATTGTGGAATTTTTTAAATTAAATTTATTGGGTTTCTCATTGTGGAATTTTAAGTGGAATTATCTTTTTTGCACAATGTTCCGCTTATATATGTGATAATAGAAAACTCAGTTTCTAGTATTTTAAAACAAGAATTGTTTCTTCTTCTCTTTCACCTCCCACTTCCTTCTTGTCTAAAACAATCCAATGTAAACTGCCACTGTAAAATTACCCATCATGGAATTTTTGTCCAAGCTCAGATGAAGTGATGCTTTGTAAATCCTTCACCCACATTCAAGTTGCAGACACATATTAGGAATATAAGTTAAAGTACTACACAGAAAGTATGTGTTCAAATGGTTTTTAAGTGCATAGGTACAAGATCTATGATTATGCAGACAAGATAATCACCTGGCTATGCTGTTCCTATGGTAATAATGGCAATTTCTTCCCTTTGATTTTTTTTTTTCTGAGCTCAATTATGGGTAATCGCCCTGTGTTGTAAAGCCCCATTATGGGACTACCAAAGCTTTGCACCTTCTTTTTTAAGAAGCTTAAAGCAGTGAGAGATGGTGGTATTTTATTGAGTAAGAGCTCAATTACCTGAGCATTAAAGAATAAGAGGACGATGTTAATGTTGACTCTTTTGTCTATAATAAGAATTCAATAACAATGCATTAGGCAACTATGCAAGAGATATCTAGCTTCATGATCTAACCCCTTCACTAGTACCTCCAGTAAGCATGTTTTCAGCAGCCCTACCCCAAAACAAGACCAAGAGATTGTTTTCTTCATGATTCCTAAAGCTGTCATTGAAATCAACATTCAAAACTCAGAATTACTTTCTCCATTACCATGACCGCAATAAAAAAAATAAGTGATAAAATTTTGTTGCAATTAATATAACGAAAGTTCTGAAACATTTTAATAGGTGGTCCTTGATTCTAACTACCATTTTAGATGGGGAGTAGAGAAATTCTTTTCCCAAAAACACATAGAAAAATTAGAAGTCAGTACAGCATTAATTAGAAAAAAGAAGTTAAGCAAAGAATATCATTTTCATATGTACTCTTAAAAATACATATGGCATTTTTACTGACCATCCAGAGGACGAACCAAGCAGCTGAAGGCAGATACTGTAGCATTAGCCAAGACTTGGCAGGGAAAACCACACACGGCGGCTGAGATGTTCCCTGGAGAAAATCCTGCTCCAAACACATGCACGATCCTTCCACCCAGGCAGCCTTTTGTTTAAAACAAAATTACAACTTTATGATCATAGAGGCAAATCTCTCTTTACTTAACTCAAAATTCAAATTCATGGTTCCTTGCTGCCCATCCTTCTTTCTATGCCCTCCAGAATCCACACAACTGGCTCTCCGTCCCTGATATCCTCAGTTTATTCTCACTAAGCTCTAGCCTCCAGAGCCAGAGTCCTTGTTTGTCAGCTCCCCATCATATTCACCAATCTATAAAAACGTAATAATTTTTATATAGAAAAGTAACGCTTATTTATAGTTCTTAATTTTTTATATGAAAACATATAAAATGAAAGTAAAAGTTTTCTTAATCACCTAACTCCCTAGAGGGAGCCATGTATAGAGTTTTTGTGAATCTTTCCAGAATTTTCTAAGTATATATATTTCTTATACAGAGATCTTTCTATACACATTCCTCTACAACTTGTTTTTTAAACATATAGCATAGACATTTTTCCAAGTATGTATACACACATTCATATGTGTGTATATATACATATACGTATATATCTAACTCATCATTTTAATAGCAACTTAGAATTTCATTATAGGATTATGCCATAATTTATTTAGCTATTTTCAGATCAATTGATACTTCCATTATTAATCAATCATCTATTGCTATAATTAATGGTACTGCAATGAACAGTACACTTATTTGAATAAAACTGTTGTAAATGCTTAGAAGTGGAATTTCTAGGTCAAAGGAAAAGTAAGTTTTTGGTTTTGATGTATATTCCCGTATTTCTCTCCAAAATAACGTTGCATCATTTTATACTCCTACCAGCACTATATGAGAGTGCCTGTCTTCAGTGGGTGGAAGTATCACAATTCTTAACAGACAACATGTTTTGCTTCAGTCTGAGAATCAAGAAAGGTAAATGTCACCGGGATCCTCAGATGTGCGGCAATGTCTAGTCCACACTGAGATATAGTTCCGGTTTCTACTGCCTTTCTATCAAGGTGGTACTAACACAACCACATGACAACATCAAGAATAACACTTTGCTTAGGGTGCCTTTTATACCCCTGCTTTCTCACCATAAAAGTCATGGAATCTTAGTAGTAAGCTGAACTAGGAAGCATCCAGCACAAACCCCTTTACCGGCAGACTAGGGACCAAAATCCCCATCCCCATAGCACTCCAACCGGCTGAAGCCAGACAGATTTGTTCTAAGAAAAGCCTTGGCCAGTGCTTCATCAGTCTAAGGCTTGGCTCGCATAATTTCCTGTATATATTCTTCATCACAATCAAATTTGAGCTATCTCAAATGTATTAAGGCTTTAAGTGAACAGAAATCGAAACCATCATTGTAAGAAAAAGCAAGGCAAATTTCAGTATATCTAAAAGGAGAAAAAAGTTCAGCCAGTGCAATCATACTATGCAATTGGCCAGTTATTGGTGGAGTGTGAATTCATCTGTGAAATATTACAAAATGATAAAAAAATCATATTTAATAAACTTAAAACAATTTAAATTGACACATAGCTCTAAAAATAGGTGAAGCCATTTATGTCCTACTTAAATGATCAAATTATGAGCTCCTATAAATGATGTTATTTAATTTAAAACACCAATTAAATTGCTTTAATGCATCCAACTAAAATACAATCATGTACTTAAAGAGTATGCACAACTTCCTTGGTAAAAAAAACAAAGTCTCTTACATGGAGCATGACGAAGACAAGTTTTAGGGGAAACTAGAACTGTAAGAGGCCAATCAGGCCTCTCTCCCTTTTTATCATTCAGATTGATGTTGACTGCCTACCACTTAGAGTAGTGAGAATAGCTGTAATCCACTAACATAAAGAAAGCCCTCTGCATCACTTGCTTGACTTACCAAAGTTCTCGGTCACTGCTGTGATAGTAATGCTCGATGTGAATGCCAGGGCAGATGAGGCCCACCCTCTTGTCCGGTCGTAACCTCTGACTTGGTACTCCCCAGCAGGGAGAAAGGGAACCACACACTGGAGAACCGTGCTGTTGCCAGAGACACCCACGCAGGGTGACATCCCAATAAAAATGTCGACGTTCACAGCTCCTGAGATATGGGCCACCACCAAAGTCAAGATGCCATCAGTGTGAGAAACAGAGAGCAATTCTGGAGTGAACGCGTTGCTATAACCAACGACTCCCATTTGATACAAAAGTCCATCTATCTCTATGTCCAAGACAACAGAGCCATGCCCTGCAGGAACAAAGCACTGAAGGAGCTCAGTACTGATGCTCACCGTCAGGCAGGCCTGCTGGCCAAGGTAGACCACCGTGCTGTTCTGTCCTCTCAGGGCTGTGCCCTCTATGGTCAAGAGGCCCCCACCATATATGCTGAAATTCTTGGGGAAATAATGAAACACCCTAGGCAAAATGTAGAAGTGTCTGGAAACATTACCAGAACAAGCATACCCATTGCTTGTATGAACTGCTGATAGGTAGTGGAGTCCTGGAGTCAAGTCGCTTATCTGGCATGCCACATGGCTTGCATTAAAGAAAGTTGCAATGCAAGGAAGATGATCATCCAAATACACCATTGGCTCATCAGCTGTGGTGCCTAATCTCTGACCTCTAATCAACACCGTAGTCAGAGACCCATTGATATCAGTGGTCAAGGCATCCACTACAGGAGTTGTCTCTTCCTTCAAAAAAAGAGTGCAGTTCCCATGACATTCACTGGGTAGGCCATTGACCAAGATGGTGATGTTCAGAGTGAAGGAAGCACCAGGCAAGGAGTCACCCACCGGTTTGATCTGACAGAGGACCATCTGGGCCCCCAAGCTCAAAATCACACAAGTAAAGGGACCCGAAAGATAAACCTGAACTGATCGCCTTCTTGAGTTGAGAGCCAAGCCCCTCACCATGAGCACTGTCCCACCACAAGCAGACCCATTTGTTGGGGAGATGGTCGTGATCCAAGGTGTCATCACCAATTGCTGGGGCGCTGCAGACATGTTAGCAAACCCCATCTGCTTCTGACGTATCCGAAGAGGGTAGACTCCTGCCTCCAAACCGTGAAGAGGAAAGGAGCAGCCAGACAGGCTCGTGTTGCCTCTGAAAGACTGTGTCTCAAGACTGCAGTTCAAGTCCCCCAGAAGAATCACTGAGTTGGAGAGGTTATTTCCTTCCACGTAGAGTCTCAGGCTGCTATTCGTGATTTCTCCTCGCACAGCAGTGACTACTGGTGTTGTGGCCACCTCATATGTGAAAGTAAAGCCCTTCCCCACCAGGCTTGGTGCAGGTCCTTGGGTGATGGACAGGTTGCCAACCCAGACCTCCACAGGGGCTGGGACAGTGAGAATATCTGCCTCAGGCGGCAGGGAAGCAGGTGAAGTCTCACACCAGATATGCGTCTCTGCTAAGTTCACAATGTTACAGGACTGATTGCCCACAAGCACCCAGACTAAACCTGGCTCTCTGCTGAATCCTATGCCTGAGATGCTGAGGATGGTTCCACCTAAAGCAGGAACATCAAAAATAAAACTTAGAAGCTGATATTCAGAACTAGGAACTCACATACCTGTGTAAGCCCCAGAGCAATTAAGTGGAGGTGGAGTAAGTATTAGTGAAATCTTAATTATTTCACCTCACCTCATCAATGTTAAATTTGTGATCATTTTGGCAGGAGTCACATGGGCTGAAATTCACATAATAGTAAAACAATATAAATTGTTATATAGAAAGGATGTTTATAATATTTAAGACAAAATTTTCAAGTATATCGATAGATCCTAGAAGACACCACTTCTATCAACTTATATAATACTGATAAATCAAATTTCTTGAAGTGTTCTTGTCATCTGCTATATTATCGGGCATGTTAGTCTATATTATTATATATGTTATTATGTAGTGAGAATACATGTATATTATACATACATATTTATAATTTATATATTAATAAAAAATCAAATTCTTTAATCTTCTTATCATCTGCCATATTATCTGATGTATTATTTTATATTCATATATTATCATGTGGACTTTATATTTTGTTCTGTATATTCAACTGACACTGTAATGAAAAATCAAATTTGCTGGTCTTCTCTTTATCTTTTAGATTATTCTATACAATATTCCAATATTCCACATGTTATGTAGTTGTAGATATATATATATACATATATATGTAATATATCAAGAGCCAATGAAATACTGACATGCTTGTGAATTAACTGCTATATACACAGACTTTGTCTTGCGCTGTAGTGCAGGGACAATAAAACTCATGTTCAGGATGGGTTGGAGCAACATATCCATCATTTCCAAATCTGTGGTATAGCCAAGTATCTTGAAAAAAGAATTTTACTATACTCGAAAATGATAACATGCTATTTCATACACTATCATAATGATTATTCATTTACAAATACATAGCTTTCCATTTTTTCTGAAAATGCATAGTTTTTTAGATTTCTCGATTTGCCTTGTTCTTACATCTCCCATATTGGCATTTGTGTTTCTAACCACTTCTGGGTCCTTCATCTACATCCCTAGAGGAAAGTGAGGACACCAAACCACATCCCTCCTCTCCTTGCACATGCAGTATCTAAAAGGCTAACTAAGGAAGCTCTTCCCTTATTTTTCTGATATCCACTCAAGATGTGGTACCCATTATATGTTTCAGCCTCTTTCTATTAGAAAAAGAAAAAAAAAGGTATATCTCCTTTTCATAAAAATTTTTGAGTTTCCTGAGCTTACTGAGCTAAGGAATTCCCAAGTTTTCATACCCTTCAAAGTGTACCACCCAGTTCCTGGAGCACAAGGAAACTTCTCTCTCTGCTGCCCATCTCTGATCTCACTGGTTAATTAATTCAGGAACAAAATCTGAATATTCAGTGAATAGACTTACTGTATAACTGGTATCAGTCACATCAGAGCCACTTACCCAGAAGGGACCCACAGCAAGGCTCGATGCTGAAAACTTCAGTGATGTACTGGATGTGCAAATCAACCCTATAGAAAATGAGGAGATTGCTATGAAATAACTGAGAGAGTTAGAGAAAGAGAAAGGAAGGAATAAGACAGAAGAGATGTATGTATTTTGGGGAGAATAAGAGAGCAGTGATGGAAAACAAGTGTGAATACACTGCCTACCAGAGAAGAAACAAAATGGTGGGCAAAAGGTATTGTGTGGGACATTTTCCTGGGCCAGTATCATGTGGTGACATCAGTCTCATACAATTTAGCTAACTTTCTGGAATGAGGAGATGGAACTTCTGAAGAAATACTGGGCAAAGGGACTTCAGGGCAAAGAGGATAAGATGCCTTGTGCAATAATTGTAAGCCATTTATTCAAAGCCCAAGACACAATCTTATTAAAGGTCTTATTTAATTATAGA